GACTGAGGATGACGACGAAAGATGTATTTTTAATAATGTTTATTTATGTGTATTTTTATATTCAGGAAGGTAGAGGTACCAACACTCCTAGCTGTGAGGTATGCATTAAGACTACAAGAACAGGTAACCATATATCCCAGAACCTAATTTGGCATTCGCAATATGAGTGTAAAGGAGATGTATCAAGATGTAGATACTTAAATATAGAATATAGTGTGTGTCATTTAGGAGTAGGAGAACCTAAGTGTTTCAGTCCTGAGTATCAACCCCGTACAATTTGGTTGACTCTCAGAAATGGAGATTCTCAGGGGACCCTAATTAATAAGACGGTATTAAAAATCAGATATTCTTCTGGTGGTGCTCTGTCATTTGATGCCGGTAAAGCAATATCAAGTGGTAGAAAGTCGGAATGTAAAGGGGATCTTTTGATGGGAGAGGACGAGGTCTAAAACGATAAATATATTTGTCCCAGTAGTAAATAAATATGTAAGTCCAAGATGCCCAAATAGAGATTAGTAACTTCTGCCCCATATTGGTCTCTGTGTGGGTGGGCTTAATTTGGGGACAGACAGCAGACAAGGACATGATTGTGACTAAGTTGCCTACTGATCCATATTGTAAGTCTATGGAATGCAATCCAATCCATATACTTATAAATAATCCTGACAAGTTCTTAGATAAATATGGTAATTTATTTGGGTTTCAAATATATGGGACGGGTTTAGACCCTGGGACAATATTGTTTATAGGGATAGAGACTGATACGGTAAACTCCCAAACTCATCAAGTATACCATTCCTTTTATGAAGAGATGAGCATAGATAATAAGATCCCCCATAATGCTAAAAACTTGTTCATTGATTTAGCCGAGAGTATTGCCGGTAGTCTCAATGTTACCAACTGCTATGTGTGTGGAGGTACTAACATGGGAGACCAATGGCCTTGGGAAGCAAAGGAGGTAATGTCCGGTTCTGAGGCAGTTCACCAATTAATATCTACACAAGCCGACTATCATATGAGTGTTAGAGGTAAATCTGAGTGGAGATTGAAGACCTCCATCATAGGTTATGTTTGCATAGCGAGGAAAGGAATGATGTATAATACTTCTGTAGGAGAATTAACTTGTCTAGGGCAAAAAGTTTATGATGATGATACAAAGAATACAACTTGGTGGTCGGCTTCAAATGTCTCAGAACCATCTAACCCGTTTGCAAGATATGCCAATTTAAAGGACGTATGGTTTGATCTATCCATCACATCTAACTGGATAGCCCCAGCGAATTTGTACTGGATCTGTGGTAAGAAGGCCTATTCGGAGTTACCACAGGACTGGGAAGGGGCATGTGTGTTGGGTATGTTAAAACCATCCTTCTTCTTGTTGCCTATTGAAACAGGTGAGACTTTAGGTGTTAAAGTGTATGATGTGAATCATAGGAAGAAAAGGGGACCCATAGAGATAGGTGCCTGGGAAGATAATGAAAGGCCTCCCCAGCGTATTATAGATTATTATGGGCCAGCCACGTGGGCAGAGGATGGTACCTTTGGTTATAGAACCCCTATTTATATGCTCAACCGCATTATAAGGTTACAGGCGGTGGTTGAGATCATTACTAACGAGACATCACAAGCGCCCAATCTTCTAGCGAAGCATAATACCAGGATGAGGACAGCAGTTTACCAAAATAGATTAGCCTTGGATTATCTTTTGGCAGTAGAGGGAGGTGTATGTGGGAAGTTTAACCTGAGCAATTGCTGTCTTCAAATAGATGACGAAGGGCAAGCAATAGCTGAGCTTACTAGCCATATGGTTAAATTAGCGCATGTGCCTACTCAGGTATGGAAAGGGTACAATCCAAGTAGTTGGTTTGGTAGCTGGTATGAGTGGTTTGGAGGGCTTAAGGCAGTGGTAGGTGGAGTCCTACTGATTGTAATGTTGTGTCTACTCCTGCCGTGTCTTATACCCTTAGTAGTTAGGTCTGTGCAAAGCCTGATAGAAAATATAGCAGAGAGGAAGGCTGCTGCACAGATAATGGCAATTTATAAATATAAGGCTCTAGATCAGGGGGAACCAATGCAGGAAGACGAGTGTTGAAGATTCACATCATAGGATAAGTCTGGTCTGGTTCAAAGGTAACTTGTGGTGTATGCAAACCAAGGTTAAGTGATGCCTCAAGTAATTGTAAAATATCAAGAGGCATCAAAGGGGGAAATGTGGTGGAATCTCGGTAAAAATAAATTTAGTAGGCCGAGATTACCACGTGGCATGTGTACGTGCATATGCTGACGTATCGATCAGTTGGTTGCACGAGGCAAGATACGATCAGTAGTGTACGGAGCATGTGCAAGAATATAGGATGTAGTATTCCCCTCCTCCATTGTGCTGGACAAGCCATGCGGTCAAGCAGGAAGTTAATTCTTATTTGTAATGATTGGTCAAGAGAATGTGCGGGTGGAGCTTAATATGGGAGGAGTTATGTGCCTATATAGAGAGCCTGCACTATTGTTCAGGGCTCAGAACTTGCTGTATTTTTGGTGACATTAGTCCCTCTGAGTCCCGATCGGTGATCCAATAAAGAATCTCTTCCTTCCTGAAGAAACCTGTGTCCATCTCTCTGTGCTTTGCTTCCGTCAGTTTCTCCGGTATCACAACATCCCATCATTCATCAGCACCGGCATTCCTTTATTCATCAGCACTGGCATTCCATCATTCATCAACATCGACATCCTATTATTCATCAGCACCGGCATCCCATCATTCATCAGCACCGGCATTCCATCATTCTTCAGCACCAACATCCCATCATTCATCAACATTGACATCCCATCATTCATCAGCACCGACATCCTATCATTCATTTCATTCATCAGCACCGGCATCCTATCATTCATCAACATCGACATCCTATTATTCATCAGCACCAACATCCCATCATTCATCAGCACCGGCATCCCATCATTCATTAGCACTGGCATCCTATCATTCATCAACATCGACATCCTATTATTCATCAGCACCGGCATTCCATCATTCTTCATCACCAACATCCTATTATTCATCAACATTGACATCCCATCATTCATTAGCATCTGACATCCCATCATTCATCAACACCGACATCCCATCATTCATCAACACCAACATCCCATCATTCATCAGCACCGGTCCCATCATTCATCCCTATAATTCATTCATCAGCACCGACATCCCATCATTCATCTCATTCATCAGCACCGGCATCCCATCATTCATCAGCATCGGCATCCCATCATTCATCAGCACCAACGTCCCATCATTCATCAGCACCAACGTCCCATCATTCATCAGCACCGACATCCTATAATTCATTCATCAGCACCGACATCCCATCATTCATCTCATTCATCAGCACCGGCATCCCATCATTCATCAGCATCGGCATCCCATCATTCATCAGCACCAACGTCCCATCATTCATCAGCACCAACGTCCCATCATTCATCAGCACCGACATCCTATAATTCATCAGCACCAACATCCCATCATTCATCAACACCGGTGTTAAGACACCCCTGGCACACAGGAGTGAAACCGCCGTTTAGTTAAGCTTCCCCTTTTCTCAATAATGCAGGCTCAATTCGTGTATACCTCAACCATACGAACTGAAGCCAGGGGAATGCGCCAATCTCCCGAACAGGACCCGTACGGGTTCTCCAAACTCCCGAACAATAAATCCACGAATCACGGCTAACAGCCGAACAAATATATCCTCCAAGCGGCTTACGTTTCCAGCAATCAGTCGCTAACTGTGTGTAGTAAACCCCCCCAATAACGAGACCAAGCTTCGCATTGAGGGTAAAACAAGAACTGGCTTTATTGTGGGCTACCCGCCCGTATTTATGCAGGTCTCCCACTTGGTGGACACTCCCTAGGGGACCAAATGGGAGACTGTAGTTACAGACAGACATATAGCACTTTAGGACATACAGGCACAGAATATTCCCACAATGCCTCCTGGTTTCCTCCCCTCTGCCCTGGAGATAATTGAGAAGTAATTCAATTATCTCCCAGGACAGAGGCAAATCGCCATTTTAAATGAAACATAAAAAACACATAAAAATAAATAATTATACAACTACCGAACATATTAAATTCGTGCAACGTATCCCCAGATAGCCTGGATCTGAGTGCATATTCTTAGCAAATAGCGCTCAGATCCCATACGCACAGTTCAATCGCGATGGAGTCAAAGTCTTTTACAGTCTTTCGGTATGCGATTGACACCATGGGATGGCTATCTGGGTTAAGTCCATTCGTATAATCCAAACTCCCAAATGGACCAGTGTTCGCATGCCTTGACGGATGAGAAGGGCGGTCTGTAGTCTCAGCGGTGTTCGGCAGAAAAAGTGTCTGTAACGGACCGTTTTGCACACAAGGGGTTAAAACCGTTTAGGCTCCTAGCAATCAGTCTCTATCAGCATTCAGTAAATCCCCCCAAAGACGAGACAAGGCTCCGTGTTGGGGGTCAAGCAGTGGTCTGTTTAATGAGGGCTACCTGCCCAGTATTTATGCAGGTCTCCCACCTGGTGTACACTCCCCTAGGGGACCAAATGGGAGACTGTGACAAAGGACAGACAAGTATCAATTTAGGACACACAGCCACATTATATTCCCACAATGCATCCTGGCTTCCTCCCCTCTGCCCTGGAGATAATTGAGAAGTAATTCAATTATCTCCCAGGACAAAGGCAAATTGCTATTATGCACGTGGGGATACCAATATAGAAATTACTATTAAAATACCCTATGTGAGACAAGTTACAAGAAAACTATACATTTAACCTATCCCCAGGTAGCTCAGGTCTGAGCGCACATTATTAAGCGAATGGCGCTCAGACCACACGAATACAGTTCAATCGCCATGGAGCCAAAGTCTTTACAAAGTCAGTTCTCATACGAATGAGCTCCATGGGATTCCTATCTGGGGTATAATGCAGTCAGGTACAACTACCGAATACCGGGCCGTTCGTGTACTTCCAACGCACAAGAAGGGAGGTCGGCGGCTTCAGCGGTGTTCGCGCCAAACTGTGTCCGTTTTTAGTTCCATGAGTTAGGAATGTCGAACACCGCTGTGAATTTGTGTGTTTAAAATGGCCGCAACCTCGTGTTCGTTATACGAATGGCGGCCACCCAGTATTAGTCAATTAAGCTGCGGTTAACTGCAGCTTCTGGGAGGCTAATTACCGGCACACTCCAGCTCCCAGGTGGTCTAATCATTCGTGCGGTTGTTCGGTAGATTGAATCTACCAAACACCGGGCAGAAAAGCACGAATAAGTCTTTTCTGCAGGGGAAAAGAGGTCTTTTAACATGGAGCCATAATCCAAAGGTAACAGGCGAGCAACCAGGCTTCTCCAATGCAGTGTGGCGAGGTTGCTCTCGTCACAGTGTCAGTTTTTAGTTCCATGAGTTAGGAATGTCGAACACCGCTGTGAATTTGTGTGTTTAAAATGGCTGCAACCTCGTGTTCGTTATACGAATGGCGGCCACCCAGTATTAGTCAATTAAGCTGCGGTTAACTGCAGCTTCTGGGAGGCTAATTGCCGGCACACTCCAGCTCCCAGGTGGTCTAGTCATTCGTGCGGTTGTTCGGTAGATTGAATCTACCAAACACCGGGCAGAAAAGCACGAATAAGTCTTTTCTGCAGGGGAAAAGAGGTCTTTTAACATGGAGCCATAATCCAAAGGTAACAGGCGAGCAACCAGGCTTCTCCAATGCAGTGTGGCGAGGTTGCTCTCGTCACAGTGTCAGTTTTTAGTTCCATAGAATCTGTGCCGAACACCGCTGGTCTTTCGCATGGTTTAAAATGGCCGCCGCCTTGTGGTCGGCATACGAACGACGACCCTGCATTCGGTTATAATTAAGAGGTGTCTGCGGTTAACCACAACGATCTAATTGGGATCAAGAGGTTAACCAGCAGCACACTTCTCTTCTGGGTGGCCGTCCGTTCGGTAAGTTCATTCGGTAAAAAGTAAAATAGACGAATAGGGCTATACGGGGAGGCAAACTAGACAAACTAGCAATATCAGTCCTACAGATGAATCTGTCACACGGCTCCCTCCTTGTTGGACACTCCGACAGACCCAGCTTGACCCTGTGGCGGGTCAACTTGGGGATGACCAGACTAGGAGGTGGTAGGGATGTCAGTTTGCCGGGACAATCCATCTGCATTCCTGTTCTGCTTAAAGGGTCGGTAGCTGATGGTGAAGTTATAAGGTTGTAGAGCTAAACTCCACCGCAGCAGCCATTGTCTCCTGAGACCCGGTTGAGCCAGACAAGGGGATTGTGGTCCGTCACAAGGGAACATTCCATTCCGTATAAATAGGGGATCAACTTCTTTAATGCCCAGACCAGGGCCTAACACTCTTTCTCCACTGCCGCATAACTCACTTCCCGGGGTAGTAACTTTCTGCTGAGATATGCAACAGGGTGCTCTCCTCCATCTTCCCCGACATGGCTCAGCACAGCCTCCAGTCCATACATCAAAGCATCTGTATGAACGAGAAAGCATTTGTTAGGGACTGGGGCAGCCAAGACAGGGGCATTCACAAGAACGTGGCTTCACAAGCTTGAGACCACATTACCTGCTTCGGCAAATTCTTTTTCGTCAGGTCAGTCAGGGGCTTGGCAATAGTACTGTAGTCAGGGACAAAACGTCTGTAGTACCCTGCCGTCCCCAAGAATGCTAACAACTGGGTCCTAGTGGTAGGTGTGGGCCAGTTAGCCACTGCCTCTACCTTGGCTGGCTCTGGTCTCTGGCTCCCACACCCCACTCGGTGACCCAGGCACCTCAGCCATACCTAGATGTCACTTCTCTGGCTTCAATGTCAGGCCAGCGGCCCAAATCTTATCCAGCACTACCCCTCATGAACCAGGTGTTCCTCCCAGGACCCATTGTATATCGCAATGTCATCCAGGTATGCACAGGCAAATTCCTGAAAGCCATCGAGCAGTCTATCCACCATTCGCTGGAAGGTATCCAGGCATTCTTCAACCCGAAGGGCATGACCTTAAATTGGTACAGGCCAAACGGGGTGAGGAATGCCGACTTGGGGATAGCATCCTCGGCCAGGGGGATCTGCCAGTAGCCCTTGCATAGGTCTATGGTGGTCAGATAGCGCCCCCTGGCAATACGATCCAGTAATTCGTCTACCCGGGGTATCGGGTAGGCGTCAGTGGTGGCCCACTCGTTGAGTCGCCTGTAGTCCACACAGAACCGGGTGGTCCCGTCTTTCTTGGGTACCAGAACTACAGACGAGGCCCAAGTGCTGTCGGAGTGTTTGATGACCCCAAGCTGGGTCATCTCCTGTTTCTCCTTCCGCATTCCTTCTTGGACTGCTTCAGGGATACGATAGGTGGGCTGTCGCAGGTGGGTATGTCTAGGGGTCTCTACCTTATGTACAGTTAGGGTAGTGTAGCCTAGCTCCTGGGAGAACGTCGCCTGCTTCTCCCACAGTAGCTGCTTCGCCTGTACCCTTTCTGTGGGGTTTAACCAGTCCCCTAGCTGCACAAGGTTAGTAAGGTCAGTCTGGGGGTCCCTTTCTAGCAAATCGGGAAGGGGTAGATTCTCAGGGTCATCTGCAGCAGGGGCACACACTGCAGCGACATCTTCGGGTCTCTCCTGATACTCCTTCAGCATGTTCACATGAAAGGATCGCTGAAACCTTTCATCTGCACAGCTGGCTATAGGTAGGTAGTATCACATACCTGAGCTACTACTTTATACGGGCCCTGCCAAGAAGCTTGCATCTTATTTGCCTTCACAGGCTTGAGCACCAATACTTTCTGCCCAACCTGGAAGACCCGCTGTCGGGCACCCCGATCGAACCACCTCTTCTGTCTCCCCTGGGCCGACTGGAGATTCTCTCTTACCATCAGAAACAGTTTCTCCATGCGGTCCCGGAGTTCCATGACATACGGTACTATGGGGATCCCCTCCTGCTCTGTCTCCCCCT